GCGTGATTTATTATTGGATAATTTCACGTGATCGAAAAAATTTTATTAGTAATTTGGTGGCGATCCTGGGGAAGTTGGCTTTAGACGACCCCCATATTTGGTCCTACCTCGAGGGTGAAGGATCAGTCGTGTAACATCGACGGTTCCTCCAGTTAGAAAGTTCTGTTAAGTTCTATCATGATATAGAATTGTATAATTCAACTGATAAAGTAATAACGATAACACTTCCATACGTAACTTGTCAATTAGGATGACACAAAAACAAAGGATAACGCCGTTGTATGATCAACTTGACCATGTTGAATTTGTAAGATCGCGAATGAGCTTAGTTAACGAGGCTCAACAGGATTTTATTAATTATATGAGTGACATTAAGGACCCTTCTATTGTGAATTGGTAAGTTTCGTATCAGTCATTATATTTGATATTGTTTTTATATTTATACTTGTGTAGTAAAAATCAAAAATCATTTACTTTTGAGGGTTGATTATCTTAACAGATTTAACATATTTCTTACAAAGCATGTGGGGTTTTCGAACACTTTTATTGAATCAAATTTACGAAGAATCGCAGTTTTTCCCAAAGAGGTTCCGCCACCAGATCAAGATGAAAAGATTTCTTTTTTATTACGAACGAAACGTATTCCTGAGATTGAAGAAGAAGAGGAAACTATAAAACATAATGTTTCTATCGATGAAGATTTATATCAGGATGAAAAAGACGCTATTGTTGATATGAATGACGAAACAAAATGGGATAAATTATTAAATGAATGGATGTCACGGTACAATGAACATGCAAAGGTTGCATTGGCTGCGTCAGAATTTTCCGAGAACGTAATTGGAGAAATCAATGTAAAATCAAGAATAGAAGACAATGAAACCGATTCTAATTTAACTACCGAAGAAACTGGATCTCAGGGTGATCTTACTTTGGAGAAGGTTCTTGCATTTATGTCAAGTGGGATTCAGGATAGTAAGTGATCTGCTACAGCATTAAATTTTACTTCACGTTCACTAAATACGTGGCGTCCAAAAAAAATAATAAAATTTCTCTTTATTACAAACCTATGTTACTTCACATAGAAAGTTAATTGCATATCAAAAATAGTGATTTTGATACAACTGATCAAGACAATCGACCAGACGATTTTATGATGCAACGTAAAAATCTAATAATAAAATAAGCAGAAATTTTGGCCATAAACTATTTTACGTTCTAATAGAAATGTTACTAAATTTTATAATAAGAACTTAATTCTATCTAAAATGCTTTCATTAAGATCGGCTTCAAACAGCACATATGATTGGCTGTCCAATAAAAAAATTCATTAATAGGTAGTCCGCAGCTGAAGGGTATAAATTCATAGTAAAAGTCCTATTTACTTATCGTTATCTGTTATATAGCGATAGGGGATGGCTAAAGCTAAAGCCGGGTATATCCTGAGAGGATAGATTAACGGAGAAACAAAAATTCAGCAGATCGGCCCGAATTATGGGTCGGATTGCACCGGCGTTGATTAATTTTGCCCAAGATCACTCAAAATTTTACTAATGAAACCATAGTGATAGCTAGTGCTCCACAAAAGATCCGGTCCATCCGCCCGCCCGCCCGGATCCGTGAGCGGACCGGGTTCGGACCCTTATTGAGATCCGCCCGGTCCGGTTCAAAGTTATAAGCTTATCAAAATGTTTAGAAATACCGGACCGGATCCAAGTTTTGGATCCGATTCGTTCTTTGGACCGGATCCGGATCTTTAAAAATATCCGCCCGGTCCGATTCATGCGGAACACTAGTGATAGCCCACTCACTAAGTAAAGCTGCCCAGATGATAATTTTGGTGTAATACAGTTAATTGTTATTTCTTAATGCCGACCTAACGCCGGTGCAATCCTAGTGTTCCGCATGGACCAAATCGGGCGAAATTTTTAAAGATTCGGATCCGATCCGAAGTACAAATCGAATCCAAGTTAGGATTCGAAATCGTATCATTTAGATCCAAATTCGTGAAAGATCTCTTTTCGGCAGTTTGCTCTTGTTCAAATGTATTTATTAAAAAAAAAACGCCCTTGTTCAAATATATTTACTGAAAAAAAGCTGATTCTGCTTAATTAAAAAAAAAATAACCGTATTGTTAGGACCCAGTATAAGAATATACGCGTTACAGTCAACCAGCGGCCACAATCCACAAGAGGCAATATTCGATTCCAAATCCTTCTACCCACGCGCAATCCATCAGAATCATACTGATGTATGCTGCATATCCACACCAAAAATCATCCAATATGGTTTAAATATCTCTCGCATCACACTGATATAACTTAGCATTAGCATTAGTAATTTTAGTAATAAAACGAATCTGAATTGTATGTTATCCGACAAACTCTTATGATCATGGCGCAGCAACGGACTGTTATTTTTTAACACTAGATGATGTATTGCCGAATATTAAATTTTTGTAAAAATATCATAATAATTGGGCCGCAGGCACTTAAAATTGATATAATTTAGGTAACAATGCAATTCATAAAAGCAACTAAACACATGCAAATCAAATTTTCAATTGAAATACATTTTTAAACTTTAAAAATTGAAAGTACAATTGTGAAAAGTATTTCCCATAAGAAATTCTTCGAGAAATTCTTTATTTTTAAAATTCTCAATGTTCTTTTTTTGATTATATTTTTCAAGAACATTCTGATTACACTCAGCCAATACATTACTTGGTTCATTAGCAGAAACTTCAAGACCATCGAGAGCATTTGCCAATGATACTGCGAATTGGTTCATTGAACGAATGAACTTGCAAGTGCAAAATCACCAGCCACTGGTGCCGCTTTTTGATGACCTTTAATCTTATCATGGTCACCAGAGACTTTATTATAATTACCAGGGGTTTTGTTGTTATTATAGTCACTGGGGGCTTTGTATAAAGAAAAAAAATAATCAGACAAATGTTCAAAACTACAACTATATAAATAAAAATTTTATCTTTGGAAATCTGATGAAGTGCATTAAAATATCCACTAAGTCCTTCATGCTGCATTACAGATTTCGAACGTTCATACACCACAAGACCTTTTTGAGACTTATGTCTCATAATCGACATTATAACAAAATTGGAATATCCAAGCTTCTTCAAAAGCTGCACTGCAGTTTTTCTTTTGGAGTAATTCGATATATTACATGTTCTTATTTGAATACCTGTTAATTTACATATTTTTCAGAAATATTCTCTCAACTTTCGCTCACTCAGAGCATGTGTGTAGTACCATTTTCCACTAAATTTTGCTAATAAATAGAAAAAAAGATAGTAAACAAACATTCTTGTCCAAAAAATCAGTTGACAAATATAAAAATATTATCTGAATTTGAAGACATTACCTTCAGATAAAAATTCATTATAGTCGTTGTTGGGCATTTAGTAAAATACAAGTCATAATTATCAGCGATGCTTTTATTGTTTGGCAAGCTAATAACTTTAGCCTATGCATCATGATTATCAAACCCTCATTAATTCATCTTAGATCAAAACAACTTGACATCAATCTCTCCATCAAACCTTTTAAAAAAATTGTTAATTTGCAGAAAATAATATTCATCATCACATAGTGCTAGCAAAGTAGTATTATAAAAAAAAATCCTTCATAATAAGCCTTCTGGCATATTATATTGCATCATAGGATAGCCCAAGATTTGCTCAACTTTATTTAATATCAGTCTATTGGTATTGACATGTTTTTTCAAACCTTTTGCAAAAAGTTCTTTTACCTTACCATTAATCACCTAGTTTAGATCTAATTACACTTTTGGATTAAGTATATTCATAGATTTTTCCACCACTAAATTCATGTTAAGATGCCTCCAAATGGCTGCTATACAACTTCTTATAGAGCTTATGTGATATTCTTCATCATCACATCTCTTCATTATGCAAACAAACTTGGACAACTGATCTTCCAAGACCATTTTTAAGTTTACTTCTTCGATCTTTTCTTTGAACCTGATATCAGAGTGAAACTCTTCCAGAGCTTTGATTTATATTTGTATTGCCTTATAGGTATTTTTAACTTTTAAATTTTCACAGATTTTCTTAAGATTATCCACAGTTGGTTCTTTGTATTTTTTTATTTTTTATTTTTTTTGAATGTTAAGAATGAAATTATGTCTCTATCTTTTATTGAAATTTAATTTGCTTCTCTTATAATAAAAAGAATATATTTAAACTTCATATCTTAAAATAACAAGAAAAGAAACTCAGACTAGTTTATCTGTGGTCTAAACCAACTAGGGTGGCCATGGCTCACCTAGATTTGAAAATTAGTAATTATATATATTAAACTTGTTTGGTATTTGATCCATAAAGGATACCAAAGTGTTAATTTATTGCCAACTAAAGTAAAAGGTAAAGATTGAGAAGATGAAGAAAATATATGAGATAAGACAAGAGGTGAAGAAGATGAAGTATTATTACAGGATATATTTGAGAAACAAGAAATGCAATAAGGTATTCAAATATTATGAATTAAGATATAAAAGAAATTTTATAGTAATTGTAGAAGTAATTTGGTAGATAATGTAATATCTTTAAGCAAATATATAATATCAAGAAGTACTAGACCTGACAGAGTAGTGTAGATAAATGGAATATGATTATTATGATGAAATATCATGCTATCAAGATTTTTAATTTGGTTATGAAGTGTAATAACTGATTTTGGTGTAATATCTAGAGATGTAGAGTTAATGATCTGTTGTAAAAAACTATCAATAAGATTATGAAGTAGTGCTAGTGATGGACAGATAACTCAATGTAGTAAGATACTAGTTTGGCTGCATTGATGATAGTTTAGTAAAATTTGATGCTTGTGTTGATATAGTATATGAGGAGTAGGAAGCTTATTAAGAAGAATTTTAACTTGAAATGATTTGAGAGTAGAAGATTGAAAACTTTGTAATTTTTTGGTTGTTGTTTATATAGAGCTATATAGCAGACCAGTTAATATGATTAGTAATTTGTAATTATTGTTAAAATCTAGTTTGAGATGATCACAAAGTATAGATGTGTATATAGCAGATAGTATAAATAGTGCATCGAATTGGTAGCTCTAAAGAGTATTTGTTAAATTGAAAAATAAAATTAGAATTATAAATATTATCCCTTAAATTATAATACAGGCAAATTTGCTTGTATTTATTTTTTTAAACTTTATTTTTTTAATAAAATTTCAAATATTAATTTTAGCAATATATTTTTTAATTAAAAAA